CAGAAAGAACTGGGCCTAGCTAGGGTCTGACTCCCAAGGGCTGGAAGGTTCAGAAAATGGCCAATGTATCTTGTAATGTCGCAGGCATAAAGACGAATGAGCAGGGAATTAATCACCTCTTCTGATCCCAGTGGGGTGGTCTCTGGCTGGGTGATGGAGAAGGCAGCTAGGTAAATATTGTGGAATCAGTGAAGGTGGGTGAAGCAAAAGGTTCATCTCTTTGTTTTCAGATGTGTTTCCACATAGAAAACCAAAATGCCCTCTTAACCCCCAAAAGCAATACCTTAACACTCCCACAGTAGGCAGTTGTTTGCTGAATTGAAGACTCAAAGGAATGAAGTTTGTGACTGTAGTCCAGGAGGTGTTTAGAGAGTTTTCCTATAATAGCCCAAGGCTCAGAAAAAACCCAGCGTCTCCAGGTAGGTTAGGCTTCACCTCTGTGTAGGTATGAGAGCCCATGTTTGGGGAGCAGAGGCTGACCTCTCCAGTGGCCCAAGCTTTGGCCCAACCTGTTCTTTCTTTATTACAGGAGGGCCCAGAGGGCAGTGCCAGCCTCTGGTGCTGCTCCCTTAAGGTTGTGCAATAGGTGCCCAGTGAGATCTGCTCTCTGCCTTCACCTCAACCCCTGCCTGCCCCGCCCCCCACCTCTGCCGGCTGCCTGGGATTGTGTAGCAGGAAGTTCTCAACTTGACTTCCTGGGGAGGCGAAAGGGGGCTGGGGAGGGAAAAGCAGCATAAGGATATGGAGCTCAAGGACACAGCCTCTCCTGTTCTCTCGACTGGGAGTTCCCAGGGACTGGGCCTCTTCCTTTTCAGTCTTTCCTCATACCTCCCCCATCCACCACCCCCAGCCATACTCAGAGCTTGCCACATAAGGCCAAGAATTTTCTCCTCCCCTCAAGCTGCTAGAAGGATCTCCAGGCATGATGAAGTAAATGGCTCACCTTAAAATAAAAAACAGGCTGTTCTCTGGGAACTGAGGTGTGTGCAAAAGAAGGTAGGGTGTCCTCAGATGCCCCACTGAGCTGGACAATGGCAGGAAAGGAAACCACCCAGCTGCCACTGTGTTCTCCTTCAAGGCTGGGTCTGGGCAGGCCTCTTCTGGCAAGAAAGGACTATGCAGCTCTTCCCAGAACAGATGATGGTATTTTCTTCTAATGCGTTTCAGAATATGTTCATGTGTATGTATGTGTGAGCAAAGCAGAGACAGATGAGAAATGGATCCAGATCTTAAAGGCCTTGAATGCCAGAGCTTGGATTTTTTCCTAAGTGACATGACTAGATTTCAGAAAGATTTTCTTGGCTGCTGTATGGATTGGATTGAAGAGTCCAAGAGTAGAGAGAGTTAGGAGGCCACTGTAGTGGCCAGGCTAGAAGTGGTAGGGTCTGATGTGGGGCAGTGGCTAGGGGATAGAGAGGTGGACACTGGGCTTGTACTCAGGGGGGGGGGAGAAGGGACCAGAGAGCTCAGTGAAGGGGAGGTCAGTGGAACAAGGCCTTAATCTAGAGCCAGTGCCAGGTCTTGGGGAACAGGGGCAAAGACCCTCCAAGAAAACCCATATCTTAGGCTCAGGGAGAGGTCTTGGCCAGGGCTAAGCCCATTCATAGGGTGTTAGAAGGGAAACTGGGGCAGACTCTTAGGAAGCACAGAGTCATAGAATAGGGGCTTTAGGCATCAGTCCCAGGTTTCCTGCAGTGGCCACTTAGTCCTTCTCCATAACCTCTGGAGAAGGGAGCTCCTTGTTCCTGCATATCATCCCCCAGCCCAGGGGTTCAGGTAAGACTGATGAGGAATTCTGGCCATAATGAGGCTTCTGGAAGCTTTGTAGAGGAGGGACAGGCCCCCCAGATCCAGATGTACAAAGAGAGAGATAGCTTGGAATGCACAAGAAGTGCTGTCACAGGTGGGAGTCAGGGGCTGGGCAAGGCTAGAAGGGACCAGAGTCCCTGGCATCCTGAGGAGTAGGGATAGAGGTGGCTTCCAGCCCAACTCCCTCCCCTTCCCCCATCTTCAAGATTTAGCTTTTTCTCATGGTTTCTGCCATTCTAGCTTTCCCCAACCTCTGAATCTCTTTTTTAGATGTCAGTGAGGAAGGGGGAATTGAGAGTGGAGCACTTCTTGGCCTAGAATCATGCCCATTGGGTGGTAGTTTCAGAGACTCACATTTCAGCTAGCTCCGCATCCTTGGCAGAATACGGGCTAGGCTGGCACTGGGCCATGCTGTTGAAAGTGGTGGGGGCAGGGGTGGGTGTGGATGCTGGGTCTGAGATTCTAGGCCTCTAGAAGCAGGACACCAAGGTTCCAATTGAGCCTTGATTACTGATTTCCTGTGTGACCTCAGGCAAATGCCCTCCTCTCTCAGAGCCTCAGTTTGCTCATCTGTGCTTTTGTAATTAATAGGATCAATAGCAGAAGTCAGACTAGAAAGCAGATCCCAAGTCAAGGGTGAATGTGATGGTTACTTTTATGTGTCTACCCGGGCTATAGTGCCCAGTTACTCAGTTAAACACAAATCTAGGTATTGCTGTGAAGGTATTTTGTAGACGTAGTTAATATCTACAATTAATTGACTTTAAGTAAAGGAGATTATCCCTGATAATCTGGGTGGTCTTCGCCCAATAAATGAAAAGGCGTTAAGAACAAAACTGACTTCTCCTTGAGCCTAAGATAGGGGTTTTCTTGGAGGGTCTTTGCCCCTGTTCCCCCAGACCTGGCTCTGGCTATAGATCAAGCCTTCTTCTACTGACTCTCCTTCACCAAGCTCTCTGGTCTCTTCTCCCCTCCCTGAGTACAAGCCCAGTGTCCCACCTCTCTATTCTCTGAAGAAGAAGAAATTTTGCCTGCTGGCCTGTCGCCTGTCTACAGATTTCAGACTTGTCAGCCCCCGTAGTCATGTAAAGCTAGTTCCTTGAATTAAATCATACACACACACACACACACACACACACACACACACACACACACACACACACGTATATACATATGTATATATACATACATACATATATGTGTGTATGTATATATATTATATATAATTGTCATGGATTGAATTATGTCCCCCCAAAAATGTCCGTATCAATTTGGCTGGGCCATGATTCCCAGTATTGTGTGATTTTCCTATATGTTGTAAATCCTGCCTCTATGATGTTAATGAGGGAGGATGGGTGGCAGTTGTGTTAGTAAGGCAGGACTCAATCTACAAGATTGGATAGCATCTTAAGCCAATCTCTTTTGAGATATAAAAGAGAGAAGTGAGCAGAGAGACAGGGGGACCTCATACCACCAAGAAAGCAGTGCCAGGAGCAGAGCGTGTCCTTTGCCCCCAGGGTCCCTGCGCGGAGAAGCTCCTAATCCCGGGGAACACTAATAAGAGGGCCGACAGAGAGAGAAAGCCTTCTCCTGGAGCTGATGCCCTGAATTTGGACTTTTAGCCTACTTTACTGTGAGGAAATAAACTTCTCTTTTTTAAAGCTATCCACTTGTGGTACTTCTGTTATAGCAGCACTAGATGACCAAGACAGTAATATATATATTATATATACATACACACACACATATAAAATTTCCTTTTGGTTCTGTTTCTCTGGTAGAACCTGATATAGACAGTTTGCTGGATTTGGCCAGACCCTACCCTTTGGCCCTGCCCTAGCACATTGTGAGTGCTCAGTGGGCATGGAGCACAGTGTGCCATACAGCCCATACAGGCTGTAAGACACCCCTGCCTGCCCTAGGTCCCCTTCTAAAGGGTTCTCTGCCTCCTCCAGTGAGCTTTCATAGATTGCTTTTCCCCTCCCCATGATATCTCAGACAGCACACACTGCTTGGTCTAGGGATGTCCATTAGAACTTTCTGCAACTATGGAAATGTTCTATAGTCTATGTTGTCCAATAGGGTAGCTACTAGGCATATGTGGATTTTAAGCACTTGAACTATAGCTTAGAGTGCCTGAGGAACTGAATTGTAATTAATGTTAAAATTAAATTTAAGAAGCCACAAAGCCACATGTGGCTAGTGGCTACCATACTGGGCAACATAGGTTCTAGTCAGAGCTGCTCTTTCCTTGTTTCTTGTCTATCATAAGAGTTAATAAATTACCATTTATTGAGCCCTTAGTCTGTGCCAAGCTTTGCATAAGTGCTTTACAGACACATCTCAATGAATCCTGGGAATCCCATTTCAGAGATGAAGGAACCAAGGCTTAGAGAGGTTAGATAAACTGATTTCAGGTTGAAGAAAAAGCTGGTGGGCCTTCCAAGTGTGAGTTATGCTCGCCAGCCATTTAGGGAGCTTTCCCAGCCTGCATGTCTTCCTTCTATAGTTACTCTACAACACATGGCTGGGCACGAGGGCCCAGGGAGGTTCATTGGGAAGTACCAATTGGTAGACGCTTTTGGTGAAAAGGAGGTAGGCTAATTCCATTCCCTCCCCATTTCCTGGGGACCAAGGACATCCCACCTTCAGATAGCTATCTCCTTGCCTCTCTCCTAGTCCAGAGTGTCCTTTGTGTTACTAAGCTTAACTAAGTGCCAGGTGCAGGAGGTTGTAGAGAGGGGTCACAGGCAGGCCCAGAGGAAGCAGTTGGGTGGGAACTGGGGCCTAGAAGAATCTTTCTGGTTTTAAAACAAGACAACAAGAAATAGTATTATAATAGCTACCTTTTATTGAGCACTTACTTTGTGCTAGGCACTTTACATACATCTGTGCTTATAATTCTTACAACCTGGGAGGTAGGTATTATTATCACCATTTTAGAGATGAGGAAACCAAGGCTCAGAGAGTTTGCGCAGCTTGCTCAAGGTGACAGAGCTGGTAGATGAGTGGTATAGTGAGCACTCAAGATGGGCATCTGTGAGTGCCTCAAAGCTTTCATCAAGCATTTGCCACACTGAAAAAATAGGTAGGTTAGAGGGGTGGGACACATTCCATCAGGGGGTGGGGGACCAGTTCTGCTGTCAAAACTGTTGAGAGGTGCTAAGCCCCACCATTTCCCACCTCCCCACTCTAGCAAGATGTTCCTTCCCCAGACTCAGCTGCAAAGTCAGGAAAAACTCCACTCTTGCTGAAGTTGCCTTTCTTAGAAACAGAAAATGACTGAGATGAAAAATCTTACCCTGTGTGTGTATTTGCAGGTGTCAGTGTGTAAGTGCAGCTCCTGTACTGGGGCACATCATCACCAGAATATCTTTCCCTGTTAGGCCACACCCCTGCCACAAGTGCAGAGAGTGAGGCAGCTAAGGAATCTTGAAAGGGCTGTTTATTTCCTACCAGAGTCCTAGGGTCACCACCTGGGAGGGGGCCAGTTCAACAATCTAAGCCTCAAATTTGCTCCCTGCCCCCTCCCTCCAGGCTTATCCAGCCTCAGGGATGTTGTGTTCATTCCAGAGACCCAGTGACACATGGCCTCTCTCTCTCTCACACACACATAAAGGTTCTTGAGTTAAGGCACCAAGTCTGGCCTGTATGACCCTGCAAATTGGTGCCAGTCAAGCCGAGGTGCAGGGCCCTTGCTCAGGGCTGAGCCTACATGTGTACACAGATGGGTTAGTGCAGTATCTGTTAGCAGTCTCTTCACAAATAGCTCCATGCTGAGCCCAGTCCTCCTGCACCCTGTGAGGAGACCTCCTGCCTCTTTGTTAGTTGGCCAACCACCTCCATCCCTTCTTCCCAGCTGGGGTGGGGCCAGGTCAGCCACAGTTCAGCCTCAGAGACAAGGACCAGTGCTGGAACTCAGGGCTTGGCTTTCAGCTCCAGAATGTGCTCTATCTAAGTATAGCAGGGGACTATTTTAGGACTTTAAAGGGGTTCAAGCTCCCACCTCAGAAGGACAAAGATGGCCACTCAGGCCAGGGCAGAGGGAGAGGTTTCTCTTTGTGCTTTTAAAACCCAACCATGTGTAACAGGAAGAGTGTTGACCTTTTTCCTCTGAGCTCTCTCACTCCCACTCTAGGTGAATGAATCCCATTCTGCAGATGAATGTGGAGGAGAAAGGTGGGGTAATAGGATTGTCTGTCTGAGTGGGCATTTACTTCAGCGCCCCCTCCCCGGGCCCCACAGGAGCTGTCTTGAGCACATTTACTGTCAGCACCCATTTAGTGGGTGGCACAAAAGTGGGGCTTGCCGGGGGTACACAGTGCGGGTGTGACAGAGGGTTAAGGACCTGGAGGAAGGCTAGGGTTAGGGCTGTGGGGTTCCTGGGGCCTGGCCTGGGTCAGGAAGCCCAAGTGAAGTAGGCGACCTCATCCAGGTCGACGGGGTAGTCGGTGAGAAGCACCGGTGTCTTGTCGAAAAGCTCACCCTTGTAGCTGCGCCACTTGCCAGCAGGGAGGTAGACGTCGCGCTCCTGCTTGCCTGGCTCCAGCACCGGCGCCACGAGCAGCGTGTCCCCAATAAGGAACTGCGAGTCGATGCGGTGCGCTGTCTCGTCACCAGGCGCGATCCACCAGAGGGGGCGCACGATGGGGTCGCCCGTGTCTGTGACTTCACCAGCTAGCTCAAGCAATAGCGGCGCCACTAGCGAGGCCCGCAGCGCGGCAAACTTGTGCGCAATGGCCACCACTTCGGCGTCGTAGTGCCAGGGCGGGACCGAGAACTGCATGGCGGGCATGAAGGCAGCCACCTCCAGCCAGCGCACGTAGAGCTCGCGCTCCGGGACATTGCCACCGCCCGCCATGCGCTCGGGCACGGCGTTACCGCCTACCATGTCAGGCAGGATGAATGGGTAGCCCAGCATGCTGACGGTGAGCACAGCAGGGATGAGCGAGCGCAGCCCCAGATCGTAGCCCCACACCGAGTCACGGTCCACCAGGCGGAAGAAGCACGAGATGTTCTGCGACTGGTAGCCCACGCGGACCTCGGCTAGTGAGAAGAAGGGCAGCGCCATCTCTGTGTAGCGCCGGCTCCACACGCTGGGGTCGGGCAGCGGCCTGTACGTGCTGAAGTCCCGAGGCAGGTAGCTGACCTCGCCCGCGTCGAACTTGAAGGAGGACACAGAGTAGCGCGAGCGCAGCCGCCGCAGGTGGCCCTGGAACCAGTCGCGGGCCTCCGGTCGCGTGAAGTCAAGCACGGCGCCGATGCCATTCCACCAGCGCACCAGACCAGGCAGCCGGCCCGTAGGCTCGCGCACGAACAGCTCGCGTTCCACGCCCTCGCCGAAGCGCGACGAGTTGTAGTTGACGAACGGGTGCACCCAGAGTGTGACGCGGAAGCCAGCGTCGTGCAGGCGGCGGAACATGTCGCTGACGTTGGGGAATTTGACCTCATCGAAGTCGAAGTCGCCGTAGGCAGGCGTGTACATGTCGTCGATTTCCAGGTGACTGCTGTTGAAGCGGTGCTGGCGAATCTGCTGAGCAAACTGCAGCACCTTGTCCTGATCCACACCGCGCCCATACAGTGCCCACGTAGACCAGATCGGGTCCCGGAAGGCCTCAGGCGCCGGCACCCTTGATGGCTTGTTGAAGTAGCGCCGCACCATGTACTTGTGGATGGAGGTGACGTCTGAGCCGACGCACACGCGGTAGCTGAGCTCGGGCGCTGCAGTGCGGCCGGCGGCCGGCTTGTAGGGCGTGTCGTGGTAGCGCGCCTGCAGCCGCAGCGAGCGCTCCGTACTGTTCCAGCCCAGGTGGAAAGGCACTGAGTCGTTGACTTTGATGGCGGCTGCGCGCGACGATAGCCAGTAGCGCTCAAGGATACCTCCGAAGGCGGCGTCAGAGGAGTAGACATCGCTAGTGACGAAAGGCTGCGGCTCTTGCTGGCCGTCCAGGCGGATGGGCCAGTGCTGCGTCCTCATCTCAGCGCCACCATACCAATGCGCCGCCGAGTCACCCAGGAACATGGCATGCTCCACAGCGCGCCCTGCCGCCGCCTCTTCCCAACGAACGCGGTAGCACATGACTGTGTCCTTGGGCCGAACAGTCTGGATGAAGAAGTGCAGCAGACGCCCATCGGCCGTGCGCGAGCAGCCAAGCAGGGCGCCATCGCGGCTGCAGGAATCGAGGTCTAACGCACCTGAGCGGAAGGCCAGGCGGAAGACCTGCTCGCCCTTCTGGTTGCGGATGGAGAAGCCACCACGGTTGAGGTCCAACAGCTCCGCACGCAATCGTTCTGCCTTGCGTAAAGAGGCACTGTAGTAGCACCAGGCCACAACCGCGGCCAGCACCAGCAGAAGGCCCAGCACAGCGGAGCCCAAAAGCGGTTTCAGGTCTTTGGACGGCTTGGGTTTGGCGGGTGAGAAGTTGTCCGGCAGGAAGGTGTACATGGCGGCGGCTGTGGAGGCCTCGGGGCTCTTACTGCCCGCGTAGCTTCCAGGGCGGTGATAGCGAGAGGACTCCTGAGAGTCCTGGGTCATCAGCTCCTAGCTAAGGAAAGATCGAGCAATTGGGCCATACCACCAAGCTCATCTGAACATGGCCTTCCAGAGTCTAGAAGGGGAAGAGAGAGATGAAACTGAGCTATCTTACTTTCATAGTGTTCCCATTCACTGTAGCAAGAAAGAAGAGGTGTATACTTTGGGAAGAACTGGGACTTGAGGGCTTGACCAGCGGCAAGTGACCAGCGTGACCAGTGGCAAAGGTGAGACTCTCTGGATTATCATCTGGGTCTTACACGCCCTTTCTAATGGGCCCCAATCCTTGTTAAAATCAGTCAGGACTCTGTGAATGGGGAGGGGGCAGGTGGCATACATTCCCATTTTTTTGGGGTGGGGGAAGAAAAACTCAGAGAGGGTTGGGGACTGTCCAGGCACACAGAGTAAGTCAGATCTCCCTGGAATCACACGTGGGGACAGTTCAGACTGAAGAGAAGGGGAAGGAACTGGGGAGGGCCTGGTCTCCCAGAGGTATGGCCATGGTGGAAGAGAGGGGATAGGCTAGCTAGCTCTTTTGGGCAGTAGTTTGGGCACTTCCGCTTCTCCCCTATATTACTGCAACAATTACCCCAGTAGGCCTCCCTGCCTCCAATTTCTTCCCCTCCGTTACCCTCCTGTTCACAGCAACCATGTGATCTTGTGAGATCATACCTCTCCCTAGCTGAGAGAGTTGCTCATGTCCCCTGTGATGAAGTCAGAAGTATAAGTCTTGCAATCAAGGCTCAAGGCATGACATCTCAGCTGTCTTTTTTGACTCCGTTTACAGCCAGGCCTATCCCGTGACTACCAAGCTCATTTCTCCCCCAGCCTAAATCTTTCAGGCCTTCTGCTTCAGGAAACTTCACCCACCTTGAGCCCACCTTCATCTACCCCCACCTACCAGCACTCCAGGGATCAGAGACCCACCACTACACACCCATACTCTCACACACTGTGTGCTAAACATCTGGATATGGCTGCGAAGAAACATAGACTTGAGGAGAGGTGTGTGCCCCAATCTGCTCCTCAAGGCCACTGACCCTTCCTGTCCCAGCCCTCAGGACAGAGTCCAACAAAGAAATAGCACTAGGCAGACACACACTGCCAGCCAGTTGGCCTGCTCCCACTGCTCCAGCTGGGGGGAAGGAGAGAGGGAGACTGGCAAACAGTAATTAGCCTCTTCCCAGATTCCAGTGTCTGTCTCTAAGTCCCCAGCTTCTTCCAGGGAGATGCCAGATCTACTCAGGGCCTTCACCTCCCCAATGCAGAGACTAACAAGAAGGCCAGGTATAGATCAGAACTTTGATCACAGATGTCAATACACAGCCCCCACAATATCCCTCCCTAAGGAAGTGCCATCTCAGGGCCTCATTCTCGGTACCTCCTCCCCCCGCCTCCCTAAGCTGGTCAGTCCTAACTGGTCTGGAATAGCCTCTTATTCGCTTTCCTCCACACATTCTGAACACACAATTTAGCTTTCCTCCCCATCCCTCTATGGACTCCCCTTTCTGTAGGTACAGGCTAGAAAAGCCTTGCTGGAAAATGCAGGCAGTGGCCTTTAGCTGATGCCCTTAAGGTGAGCAGAATCTAAAGGCCTTAGGCAGCCCAGGCCAGACCTGCTGTGCATTTGTATTCATTCATTCAAGAAAAGCGATGCCCCATTCTGTGCACTAAGGGAATAATGGGAGAGGATCCTCAAAACTTTCGTATTACGTTAGCCCATCTCATGGCCCCTAAAGCATGGAGAAGCCACCAAAGTGGCCTTAAAAGACCTTTCCAACACTTGGGTTCTAAGAATCTTAACTTTCTAGGACTCTAAGGTTCTTCGATGAAGGACAGGATTCCCCCAGGCCTGGGCATCCTCTCCACAAAGGCACCCAAATGCCACCATAACATCCAACCCTAACAACAATGCTGAGTGTCACGCATAGCTACAGTGCCCATTTTACAAAAGATGAAACAGTAGCCCAAACAGAAAAAGGGACTTGTCTGAAGTCACCCAGCAGCAAGGTTGCCTGAATCCAAAACCTCAGTTTAACCCCCACAGCATAAGTTTGGGGAGATAGGAGAAATGGTCTGACCTGGCTGCCTGAATGTAGCAGAGGAAAGGGGCTGTGTGGCCAAGAGAAGGGAAGGTGGGACAGGCTTTCATCAGGTGGGTATGGGCATGGTGAGGTCTGTCTTCCAAGGGCTTGGTGCTCCTGCTTGCTCCAGGTAGACCAAGAAGGCTTCTTAGTGGGAGGGAAAGGGGCAATTTTAATGCCATCTAGTACCAGGGCTGTGCGCAAGGAATTTATGGAGGGGACTGGTTGGGGAAGAACTCTGTGGTTCCGGTGTTAACTGTAGCGTAGAGACCCCTGTAATCTGCCGCCTCCGCAATCTGGCCATCTACAGGCTAATGCCAGCAGGTGGGGTCTGCGGGGCGATCTCCTTGGCATCTGCCCCTGCCGAGCCTCTCCCCAACTCGACACTCACCCTCAGCCTTGGCTGCCAGCCCCTAGCTCTGTCTGAGGGGAGGCCCGGCCCAACTGAGGGGAGGCCATTCCCAGCTGGGTCGTTTGTCGGACGCAGTTCCCAGAGGGGTGGAAATGTCAAAGGCAACTCGATCTGGCCCATCTCCCTCCGCCGCCCGGCTACGATCCGCAAGGATCGAGTGACGGCGCCTACAGCCTGGAATACTCAGCACCCACCCCCAGCGCCCAGCCCGAAGAGGGAGACTGAGGTCAAGTGGGCCTGTCGCCTGTTGGAAACTGCGGCCTGAGGAAGGGCCCAGGTGTCCAGGCTGGCTCCAGCCACTCATCGGTAGGAGGGAAAGTTCAGGAATCGTGAGCACTTAGCAGCCCCCCGAGGTTCTCCCGCTGGGCTCACTCACGGCAGTAATGGCCCCGCAGAAGTGGGGATGAAGGGAGGCTCCCGCAGACGCCCTGCGCGCTAGCCAGAGTTGAGCTGTTGTGGTGCGGTGCGGGGCTTCCAGGCTGGGGACAGGGGGAGCCCTCCTCAGGCCCCGCCCCCTGGCGGCTTGGCCCCGCCCAGGCCGTAAGGTCTTGCCCCTGGCTGCCGGCTCCTCCTTCCATATCGTCAGGCCCCGCTCCTAGCCCCCACTGCCCTCCCACTGCTGGGGGTCCTGCCCCTAGCATCTGTAGCCAGCCACAGGCCTTGTGCCTCCTGGCTCCTCCCCCTGCCTGCGGGCCCGTTTCCGCAGAGCCGTCGTTTACCAGCGTGTGGGCGGGGCTCGGCACCAGGCCTGTTGGGAAATGTAGTTCTGGAGGGAGGCGAAACCACAGACTGTTGGGTTCTTCCACCTCTAGGCTGGGTTTGGGATGTGTATGAGAGGGAGAGAGCCGAAGGGTAAAGTGGCAGGGCTGGCACTTGGTATTCCTTCCCCTCCAGTGGAAGCTGTCTCGGTATAACTCTGACAAGCTCTCGATTTTCCCCTGTGGAAAAGGGGTATGTAACTTCAGGAGGATCTCAGAGCCTAATGCAGGGAGAGCCCAAAAAAGGACGCCACAGCGGGAGCTTGTAGTTCCATCAGCAGGAAAGCCTAGGCTGTCAGTTCCCACCGGACTAGAGCAGCGGCCGTACAAGGTCTGGGACTGGAAAGGCCGGCTTTCATTTGGTATTCTGCCCCCTACCCCCTCCACCGGGTTATTTATAGGGTCTAGTCCCTCCTTGTGGTGGCAGCCTTTAGTTAGAAAATGGCTGTGGTGCTTAGAGGTGAGCGTGTCCCCTCAGATTTCTGTCCCTGGAGATTAGAGGGTGAAGAAAATGCAAGACTTTGAGGTTTCATGTTTTTGATAAAGGAAAATACTGGAGATCCCAGGGATTCCAGAACACCCCAACCCTTGCTTCCTGTGGGGCAGAGAAACAGGGCTTTGTTTTGCAATTTAAAATTTATTGGTCTCGTGAAGCCCCAAAATTGTTTTGGACCACTTGAACTTGGGTGATAGAACAGCAAGGGTGTCTGAGCAGAGACTTTTGGGGAACTATGATGAGACTCTGGGAGCAGAGATCGAGAGCTTTGGGTGTAGGGACAGGACTGACTGTGGACTGGAGGATTCTGGGACCACTGAGATTCAAGAGCCCAAGTTTGGGGGGCCTACTGGGGAACTGTCAGCTGGAGGGCCTCATGGGGTAGGAAGTAGATGGACCCAGCCTAGGAGGAGTCTTCCCTGCATGGCTAGATTAGTTTGGGCTCTGGGGTGGAGGAGAGGACACCAGCTGGATGTAGGGCTACTGTTATTGTGTCAGGAGGGCACTCAGGGCCACCCAAGGGAAGTACTGAGATGGGGGGGAGGGGGATGACTTAGGGCAGGGTGACTTTGAGAAACTCCATCTTAGCTGAGGAGGCTTAGCAGAGGCTTAAGTGACAGAGACTTCACTGTCAGATCCTGCTGGGTAAGACACAGGAGGCAGCCTCTGGGGGTGAAGAGTTTATTTATTGCTGATCCCCCTTGGCCTGGCCAGCCTGGGCTCTACCAGCGGCCATACTCAGGATAGGTCTCAGACACAAACTCAGGATGGACAACATAGTTGTTTCTCAACGGACCACCAGTCTTCTTGAAGTGACTTGTGTCCCATCTGTGGGGAGAGATGGGTCAGCCCTTTTGGACCTCATATATCCAAGTGCACAACAGACCCTAATTCTCAATGGTGACTTTATCTCAACATTATGTCCCCTAACACTGAGCCCTGGTGGTGCAGTGGCTAAAAGCACTTGGCTGCTAACCAAAAGGTTGGCGGTTCGAATCCACCATCCACTCCGTGGGAGAAAGATGTGGTGGCAATCTGTTTCTGTAAAGATTTACAGCCTTGGAAACCATGTGGAGCAGTTCTACTCTGCCCTACAGAGTCACTATGAGTTGGAATTGACTCTGCAGCAGTGGGTTTGGTTTTCTGGTTTAACACTGACCCTAGGCTCCAACAATGACCTCGGGTTCTACTGTTTCATTTCTAATTCCCAATATCTGTTCTTTAACATTGACTTCTTACTCTTCCAGCTGTGAACCCAACGCCCTGATATCTTGACTCTAAGCCCCACTACCAAACTTTGACCCCTCAATACAGGCCTGCCTATCATGGGGAGGTGGGGGTCTTCCGTTTCCTAGCCTGCTTTGACTTCCTCAGGGCACTTGCGCCCCCGCGTGGCATCTTCCAGTCAGTGCATTGCAGTGGACAGTTCCCACCCCAACTAGTTCCCCCGGCTGCACCAAGGGGACAAGCCTGTCTTGTGCGTATACGTGTGCATCAGACTTACCTAAGGTTCGGATATGGGTAGTACGACGGTGGGGGAGTTGTAACAGCACATTGCATTCCGGCTCGGTGTTCGTAGGGAGATGCAGCCCTGGAGGGGAAAGCGGTGGGCAGGGCCTTTTGATATTTCCCCTAACCCCCAATCCAGACCAGGCCTCTGGGCGGTGCTTCAGGAGTCAGTTTCACGGCCCTGAGAGGCTTTCCTTCGGTCTCCATACCCTTTAAGACCACCGCAGCACCGCCTCCGGGAAGCCCTGTGGGAGGGAAGTCCCCCTCCCCGTAAGGCCCCATTCTGCCGCCCAAGCCGGGATGTGGAGCACGCTGGACTCTGGAGAGGGTCAGACTCCGGTTGTTGGAGGAACTAGGAGTCCCGTTCCCCGCCGTGGGACAGCATTTCTCCAGCACTATCAACGTTTCTGAGCCCCGCCCAGGCACTTTCCCATCCCCCACCCCCACGCCCCTGTGAGGGTTAAGATCCGGACTCACACCAGGCACCACGCTCTCCCCTCCTCGGGGAGGGGCGGGGGATCAACATGGTAGGTTAAGGATAGGGTTTCAGGACCCCATTCTGCCCAGCTCTCTAGACAGACGCAGACTTTGGAGTTCTCCCAGGCTCGTCCCGCCCTGTATGCCGTTGGGTGCAGGGAAAGTGCTGTTTTTCCAGCTGTTACACGTGAGAGAGTCTCGCTCCGGAGGATGGCGGGTCTCCGAGGAGGCAAGGGCCGCTCTGGTAAGGCGGTCAGCATTTCCTTGCTCACTTAGCTCCCAGCAGTGACCCAGCCTACCACCGACGGGGACCTGAGGCCCAGAAAGAGAGGACACTTTTCCGAGGACACGTGGCACCTCTCTGGCTAAGACCTGCGTCACCACAGCTGGGTGTCGAGGTAGGGGCCGAGCTGGTGGACATGGGAAAGTTATGCGACTGGTGTGCCGGGTTTCTTTCTCAAAAACCCTCTGGCAGAATCTCCAGGGCAGATACAAGAGCCCGGATGACCTTGAGCCCATTCAGGAGGGACGGGGTCGGGAACTTGCAGGAACCTTCATGCTAGTTCCCCCTCCCCAGCTGTCCACTCAGACCCTGGGGTCCAAGAGGCGGACCTCGCTGGAGGCGGGCTGGGAGCGGGGTGGAGTGCGCGCAGCCGGGGGGCGGGGCTTGGTTGGGGCGGGGCCCGGCAGAGGCGGTCCAGTCCCTGCGAACCTTACAGTCGGCTGCTCACAGCACCCTGGCCGCAAGCGGCGTTGAAGGCAGGGCGCCCCGGTGACATAGTAGTCCATCCCGCGCAGGCAGTAGTGGCGGCCCGAGCAAGGGCTTTCGTAACCCTGGAAGGGCAGGCGGCCCGGCAGCGGGTCCACACACCCGCATCGGGGAGCGATCTGCGGCAGCGGCTGGTTCCGCGACAGCGAATTCAGCATGTTTACCACGACCTCGCGCTCTGAGCCCGCAGCCGAACCCAGGAGACCCAGAGACAGTGACACAGAGATGGGAAGAGACAGGGAGAGACGAAGACAAAAAAACGGACAGATAGAAACGGTTACACTCTCCAGGGCCCTCGGCTTTTGCCTCTGTCCCCAAAGTCCACCCCACCCGAAACCTGCTGAGCCTCACGCTACCCGTGCCCTTCCACCACCACATCCCCCGTTACCGTAGGCATTGAGCCGCTCAGGTTTAGGAGGGTACTCCAAGGGCGTTCCTCGAACTACCGTCTCCATTCCAGCCTCCTGGACATGACACATACGCTACCTCAAGCTCTGACCGGGAAGAGCTTCTGCCTTTGGGGGCACCTCCCAGGACACTCAGACCCTCCCCAGGCCTCATCTTATCCCGCCCTTCTGTGGCTCCCCTACCCTCCCGGCTCTTAGTGTTTGGCGTTGTCTCCTGGCAACGCGTTTGCTCCGCCTCCCGGGGGGAGGTGCTGTAGGTGGACGAGGTGTGGCTCTGGGCCGCGGACGACCCTGCCTTAGAGCTTGTCTTTGATTTTCACCCTCTCTGTCTGCTAACCAAAAAGTCAGCAGTTCGAATTCACCAGGCACTCCTTGGAAACCCTATGGGGCAGTTCTGCTCTGTCCGATGGGGTCTCTATGAGTTGGAATCGACTCGACGGCAACGGGTCTCTGTCTAGCTGACTCTGTCTAGCTGTGTCTCGGTGTCTATCTAATAAGGAATTTTCAATATTGCCTGCCTGTCAAATTCACCTGAGGAACTTGTGAAAATTTCTGAGTCTTGAGAAAGTTCTGATTCGGAAGGTTTCAGTCAACCCCTTGGTCAGCGTCAGCCTAAGGTTAGGAAGCACTGCTCTGATCTCAGATCCTTTCGCATTCCCTCTTCTGTCGGGGTTAAACTCCCACCTATCTCCTTGTAAGAATTGCCTATATCTGTGCTGTCCCTGAGTGGCCTTGCTCCTCCTCCTGTTGTCCCTGCTCACATCACAAAGGAGGGTCAGGTGGAGCAAGTATGCTCAGCTCATCCTTGGCCCCATGGTCAGCCCCAATGTCGCAGGGACTGCACCACAGAGGGAGGGGGCAGTTGGCAACCTTCAGAAAGGCAGCACTTCAAAGAGTACATGCCAGCGATGTACCCCACAGAGCCTGGTCAGAGATTGGGACTTAGGGGACCTATCATCAGAGGTTGGGATTCAGGGTGCCCAAAAAACTGGGACTCAGGGGCTCAACACAGCCCCCTCCTGGGCTTTCTTGTTCCCTAGAAATACAAACACTAGTTTCATGGATGGTGAAGAGCCCTGGAGCATTGTTGATGGGCAAAGGATAAGGAACTGATGGTGTCACTATGCCAAGGATGGGGAAGGGGTATGCTTCCCAGACCCCAGGCATCTATGCCAGGCAAAGTAGATACCTTAGGCAGCCGGGGCAGGCAGTTGGTATACTTGTTCCAGCCGGCGCTATTGTAACGTCCTATCCTCCATGTGGCGTACCGGTCACCATACAGATAGTTTGGGTTGCATTTGTCTGCTTGATTATAGTGGTGTGGATATTAGACAGTATTACTCATTACTCTACCCAGGACCTGGGACACCCCTCTCCCAGATGTTTCTCCTCTAGTCCCCAGCACAGAGCTGGCTTTCACTTATCTCCCTCAAGTCAGTCCCCAAGCCCAGCCTGACCCCAAACTTGTCCTAGAAGCTGAGATGCAGCCCATTTCCCACTGAAGGCAAGCTTCTGAGTGGGATCTGGATCCTCTGAGCTAATCACTTTTATCCTCATATTATCCTTTCTGAAACAGCCAAGCTGGAAATGCGGCCTCCTCCCCATTCCTCCCTCTCCCTCATCTCCCACATCCAGGCATCAACGTTTACCTATTCTGCCTCCTTAAAATCACTTGAATCTATCCTCTCTTCTCCAGTCGCCTGTCAGCTCACCCCTGTATCTCTGCAGTGCCTTAATCAGGAGACAGTATAATGTGGTCAACAGAATGGACTCTGCAGATAGACTGTCTGGGTTCAGATTTCAGCTCTGCCTGTTATTGGCTGTGTGTGACCTTGACTGAGTTAATTAATTTTGCTGTGTCTCAGTTTCCTCAAATTTAAAATGAGGGCAGTAATTCTCTCTACTTCATAGGGTTGTTGTGAGGTTTAAATGAGTTAATATATGTAAAACAGAACAGTGCCTGGCACATGGAAAGTTATTATTAGCCTACTGATCTCCCTGCCTCATCTTTAAAATCCTAGAATTCAACATCTACATAGGAGCTTCCATACTTTTTCACAAATAATAATCTGACCAAGACACTCCCTACTTAAAACCTTTCAAAGCCCCACCCACTCAGTCACCTAAGCCTGTCCTCCAAGGCCCTACATGATCTTCTCCCCTCACCCTCAATGGTCTGAAAGAATAGACATGAGAGACAGTTTTAGTGTTTGAGGGTGAGGGTAGGAGATGCAGATTCCCCATTTCAATTCTTCATCAATTCATTCAGTAAACACTTTTGAAGCCAGGCACTGTTCCAGGTGGAGGGGTCACAGCTGTGAATAAAACAAGAGTCCCTGCTCTTATGGAATGTACAAGAGACAGACCATGAACATCTAACCAAGTGAGAAAAAGAATTTCTCATAAGGTGTAAGAGGAGGGGAAAAAGTAGAGACATTGAGTATAAACTATGTTTCTGAAAATCTTGGCTGTGAAGAGGAAGAGCAAGAGAAAATTTTTAGGCAGAAAGAGATTAGAAAAGGTTTCCAGGTTGAAGAGAAAGAGGCATGATGAGCAGAGGGTTGCCTGGTGGGGAGTGGGGGGATGCAACAGGTTTGCCAAGAAGATGGGAGGGGTTGGCATCCGGAATACACTTGGAGGGATATTGTTTGTTTGAGGGGAGGTTAATACTCTCTCCATCTCTAAGGATAAGACCCAGGATTTTTCCAGTTCTGTGGCACAGACAGGAAGCTACCAAAAGGCAGGGGTTGGATCTCCTCCTCCAGGGTCAGGGTTAGGTTAGGTGGTTGGGAGTCAGGTTGGAGTGGGGGTTGGTTAGGGAAGAAGCCCAGGTGGGGATAAAATTGATGTAGGATCAGGATGGAGGCCAAGATCCAAGCTGAGTTTGGTTGGAGGTCATCGTTGGGGTCACTGCTGGGGTCAGGGTTAGGTGAGGGGTAAGGCCCTACCTTCCTCTTGAGAGAGCCAATACTTCTCAGGGAAGTAGGGGTAGCCTGGTATGCAATTTTTATAGCTGTAGTTCTTCACAGCACATCTGACCATCTTCTGCAGGGCTTCAGGGTCCACGTGGCGCTCCATGGTCTGAGTCAGGCCCTGGGCAAAGAGAGAGGGCAGGAAGTGGCTAGATACATAAAGACCCAGCACCAGAGTCCTGCTGGACCCAGGTCCAGCCCTTCTGGAGAAGGTCAGCCCAGGTGAGTCTCCTCCCCTTCTGCTTCCTATGCCAGTAGGGGTCCGTGCCAGCCTTGGTCCCCTCTGCATAGTTCTTTTGTTCATATCACTCTTTCCTCCTTTCTTTCCATCCAAGCCTGGGCTTACAGCCAGTCCGGGTAGTTTTCTGACTTTCTCATTTGTGTCCTGTCCTTGACTGGGAACTCTTTGAGGGTAGACAGAGCTGGATCTTCCTGTCCTATTTCTTCCAGACTGTGTGCTGCATGACAAGGGCCTGGGTCTCCCCCAACAGCAACCGACCCTGGGCACAATCTGTAGCCTCAGGAAAGGCTGGCTGCCTAGGGGCCTTGCTGCCTTATGCAGGTCTCTGGGAACCTAGCTCCTTGGGGAGCCTAAGGGTGAGGGTGGTGCTGGAGCGGCACCTACTTTAAAATTTAATTCCCTAACTCCAGCCTGCCCCAACTGCTGTGGCTCTGATATTACCCATTGACCCTGAACTTCGCTTTGCCCTGGCCCTCGTCCTACCCTGACCTTTTTCCTGGTCCAGGCCCTGGACCCTGTCTACTTCTTGGGGTTCACCTCATCTCATCCCATCACCCTTTTTGGATTGGATGTGTGGAAGCCCAGATCGAGGCCTCCCGTTGTCCTTACCTGAAGGCAGAATGCCAAATTAGTTGTGGACTCACAGGTCTTTGCAGACAGCTGATGTGAACAGGGAGCTGGTTCACAGGGTGAGATACCCGTCAAAAGAAACACCAGAAAGGACTTCCTCATAATGGGCAGTGAGGTGCTGGGATGGTGATGGTATCACCCACACTTCCTCCTTACGATCTTAAGAGCAGAGGTTTTTCTTAGCCAGGGACAAGACCCTTCTGCTCCCAGTGCTCCCACTTACCTGAAAACCCCCAGTACAGGGGCTTCTGGGATCATCTGTCCAGCTGAGGTTCTGTTCTGTGGGCAGATCCTGTATAGTCACACTCCCATGTAGGTAGAGATGGGGCAGAACTTGGGGGACATGGGTGCAGGGGCCACACCCCCATGACGCGACACTTCCCTGAGCTTTACACACAGTCACACATAGGTCCAGGTATACACATAGATCTGTGCACCCAGATACACTCATAAACACACAGAGACATATATCTACACATCTACACTCTCATACATACTCATACACATAAATACTCACAGATACACACACCGCATACACACTCACAGATGCAAAAACAGCCATTTAGAAGAACTTGCAGACATCATCCATTTTTCTGTTAGAGCCTTTCCTCAGATGTGTGTAATCTTTGATTCTTTGTGCATGTTTAATAGGAGACGAAAAAGCTTGTTGGAGGCTTTGGGCTGTGAGTAGATTTGTCAACCATGAGCATGACTTTCGGGTGATCTGGCTGGACCATGTTTTGCAAACCCTTGTGTCAGTATCTATAGGTATTTCTCTTGCGCTGATCATATTCTTTAGAAGAAACATCTTCAATCTCTGGCTTGAGAGTAATGACCTAGTGCTGGTATTCTGAGAACCTAGTGGTCAGGAGGACTGCTGGTGGTTTTAGCATTTAGTCTATGAAGGTCCACCTGTTTTTGTTTTTTTTTTATTATTGTCCCCTGCCCTAAGCTGGGACTTGGGTCCCCAGTCTGAGATCCTCTCCAAAAAGTAAGGCTTCTGACTTTTGCTAGGATAGGTGCGGGCAGTCACCCAGTAGCATAGACTAGGAGAGGGAATTAGTGGGTTTAGCTGCTTTTTAAAAGGCTTTCAAATAATTCTTATTTTAGCCTAGGCCCTATCCCATCTTCAGTTCCAGAGAAACTTAGTACTGCCAATTCCTGAGGTTTTTGAAAATTCTGCAGTTTTAAGTTGTATTATGTCTTTGGTTTCCCATTGCTGGCTTTGGATCAGTTACCACTTATCTTCCAAAGTTTTGTTCCCTGTCCCCTCTCCTTTCTCCCCATCCTTGTAGGTTTGTGCCTTAAATATCCATTTACTGTAGTTTTAGAGGGGTTTCAGGAGGAAAAATACGTGTGTATTCAATTTTAACCCAGAGAATTACAGTTAGTTATATATTCTATATATTAATCCTTTGTCAGTTACACATTGCAAGTATCTTCTCTTAGTTTGTGGCTTGTATTTTCATTTTCTTTATGATGTCTTTCGATGAATAGAACTTCTTAATTTTAACATAGTTGAATTTATTAATCTCTTCTTTTATGGTTAGTGTTTTTTATGACTTATTTAAGAAATCTATCCATACTCTAAGATAATGGAGATTTTGTCCTTTCTTCTAAATGGTATACAGTTTTACTTTCCATACTTAAGTCTTTAATCTTTCATGAGTTGCTTTTTGGGTTTGGTGTGAGGTAAGGATAAATTTTGTTTTTATCCATATGAATAATCAATTGTCCCGTTGAGTAATCTATCTTTTCCACAGATTTGTAATGCCACCTCAAGCCTGGTATATCTTTTTCCATGGCTTTACTTTCAGCATCTCTGTTGTATATTGTTTCCATCTATGTGTGGATCTGTTTCTAGTCTATTCTATTCTGTTAAACAGTTTATCTATCACTACAGTAATAATATACTTTATTAATTCCTGTAGCTTTATAATCAAACCAATGAGTTGCTGTCTAGCATTAATATTTGATTGGGCAAGTCCCCTTCTTCTTCAGGAGTATTTTAGCTATTTCTTGGACCTTTGCTTCTCTGTATAAATTTTAGAAACAGCTTGTCAAATTCCTCAAAATTTCAAAAATTCATTGGGATTTTAATCAGAATTGCACTGAATCTTTATGATAATGACTTTTCCTATCCATGAGCATGTTATCTCTCTCCATTTATGTAATTATTTTTAAAAAGTATTCAATAAAGTTTTGTAATAATATCATACAGTTTTGCAATAATATCATACAGTTTTGCACACTTTTTGTTAGATTTATTTCTAGTTACCTTTATGTTTTGTAGCAAGAATAAAGGATGTATTTTTAAAGTTATATTTCCTAAATATCCACTGTTGGTGTAAAGAAATGTGATTGACTTTTTATCTCATATTCATGTTTCTGCTGA